AAAACCAGCTTCTGCAACTGTAGCATGCTCTGTGTTCCGCTGCAATGGGTTGAGTTACCCAACTTGATAATGCTTTTACACTAGTGATTGATGCAGTCTTGACGAAAAAAAGTTTACCTTAACACGTCGCGTTATAGGTGGAGCATGTGTTGTTTCCTGTGTAGTGTACTTAGTATTGAGTTTGATATGGTCCAGTGGATTCACATGGTCAAGTTTGCGTTCAACAGAACACCTAAAGAGCATAAAAATAGGGTGTATTGGGCTTGAAGATGAGCACTCCTCAGTCAGAAATAATTTCAAAGTACAATACTGATATCGAACCAATAGAAAGTCCAGAATGTTTTCCGTAGTTGCCGCTACAGGCAGGTACGGAAAACATTCTGGAGTTATTGGTTCGATATCAGTATTGTACTTTGAAATTGTTTCTGACTGAGGAGTGCTCATCTTCAAGCCCAATACACCCTATTTTTATGCTCTTTAGGTGTTCTGTTGAACGCAAACTTGACCATGTGAATCCACTGGACCATATCAAACTCAATACTAAGTACACTACACAGGAAACAACACATGCTCCACCTATAACGCGACGTGTTAAGGTAAACTTTTTTTCGTCAAGACTGCATCAATCACTAGTGCAAAAGCATTATCAAGTTGGGTAACTCAACCCATTGCAGCGGAACACAGAGCATGCCACAGTTGCGGAAGCTGGTTTTTTGCGTTCACGAATAGAGCCTCATAAACGCAAGGAAAATGGTGTCGATGTTTCCGTTGTCACTATCGTGAGTTCTTTCTTTTGCATAACACGGCAATGTCCTTGTTCAATGTTCAAAAATGAGTTGTTTAGGGATGCGCAGAGAAGACAGCTAAATGCTTTACGGTTACGTGCCATTTCGACTTCCTCGACGCGAACTCGGCACCCGTCATCGATTTCCGGGCTCGATTATGGAACACAACTTTCATTGAGGTTGAAACAAAATCGTTCATTTTTTGGATATTCATTGAGCTATTTATGCTTCAATTTTAGGACTATTCCGACGTGGAATATGTAGAAATTGCCTCATATGGCAGAATTGAGCTGGACACAAACCAAGGAATTGAAGATGATCCCAGTAATAATGCAATTAGCGTTAAAACGCTCGCATACCCTGACAGACCTGCTCTTGGTTAGTTGTTGGTTTTTTCATTCTAATTTTTAATGTTGAAAATCACTCGGTTTGGGTCAGCGCTTCTCGCTGGTTCTACTGAAAGCAGATTTATTTTAGGATCTCGTCCTGTTCCATGGTGGATAATCCTAGTCAGCGCTTTAATAGGCCTTCTTATTCTTCTAGTTGTGGTGTTAATATTGTGGCGTGTGGTTTTTTCAAAAGGAAAAAGTACGAGCCCAGCCTCTATCGTGCCGAATTACAGCACGAACGAGAACAATGGAGCCAATCACAAATGTAGGGAATATTTTAATAATCACTGCCTCTAGGCAATTATCTCTTTCATTTTGTTACATTGCATGTTTTAGCTAGCGTGTTATGTCAAATATCTCATATTGTGGATATAATCACGCATTCCATTGCTCAACAGGTGCACTATGACAGACACTGTTTATGTTTATTGTTTCTCAACTGCCTGCTTTTATGTAAATTTCGAAATAAGCTTCACTCAGAGTCATATCTTTTTCTGTCTAATGGGTGAATACTGCGGTCGATTCTTTCGTTGGTGAAATCATCGCCGCAATTGTTTGATTTCAGTTGTTGTGTACACATGTGATGCTACTCACTTTATTAATTATATTTCAAATAAACGAACAGACATTTTTGCATCTATTCTTTTGAAATCCTGTTTGTAGTCTCGGTCAGTTATTGCTGGAATCAATTTCTTGTCTAACGTGACACACTAAGGTAAACTTCTGAAGGACTATTTAAAAACTCAAAGCCTGGCTTAGTTATCAGAGTAGTGCTCTGCTAAGACGGCTCCAGAAAGTCTTGCAGTATTCACACTTCACCGTTGATTAAAGGAAAATAGCAACAAAGCATCAGTTATCCGAAAAGAACACCAGATCACGGCACATGACAGCGAAAGTGGAATTTGTCTACTCAGTCTGAACCTAATCAAACAAGCGATCAGACTGTTTTGAGGACAAATGAAAGACTCCAAAAGGTCACTGAAATGGGCATTAGGTAGTAGAGAAAGGAATTCAGAGAAATCTAGCCCAAAACATTTTTTAAATTACCGTCGTTGTCGAGAATGAAGACGTGCTTCGTGAAAAACGAAGCTGTGTCCAGTAGGTCTTCACTGTAAGGAATGGAGACAACTGACCGTCTTTTCTCCCTCGAAAACGACGCGAGAAGGCGAGCGTGTTTGCACGGCGTGTTCTCCCAAATAAGAATCTTCGTCGGTCTCTATCTGCAAAATTGATTGCAGTTGAAGTAGCGCTGACTGCGATCTCAACCGTATACTTACATGATAAGAGTCCTCATCAGCTCTGACACGAGAGTCAAGAGACAGGTCCGCAGCTTTCTCGAGAGGCTGGTCCTCCACGTAGTGAAAGCGGATAGTTTTTAGTCGGGCTGGATCAGTAAAGTACTCTGCCGGCACAGCGGGAATTCTTAAATATCCGTTTCTATGCCGTGCAATGAGCCATTCCAGAATTTGCAATTACTTCATAGAAGTTGTTTAAGGCAAAACTCGTAAATATGCGACATCCAGATTACACATGCAATAAGCGAAGCCGGCTCGCACAGCGGCTGAGTAACGCTGCTATACTGTGACAATGTTCACATGGATGGCTTCCAGCTGTTTGGTAAACGTAGAGCCTGCATACAGGTGACGGAGGGTTCACAAAAGTATGTAAAACACGAGAGCTTTACGAGAATACTTTTCCCTCTACGACTTCAAAATGCTACTATCCTTTCTAATGTCAATTACTAGATAGCCGGCTATCAGAAATAAAGCAGATCCACTCACAGTTGCAGGCGAATTCCCGCTCGTTTTAGCTTCTGTTAGCAGATGTGTCAGACACACTGCATTTCCTAGATTCGAATCTCCAAGGCCTTAACCCTCCATCTTCCACATGCATCTCAAGTGGTAGTTCTTCAGTAGACAGAGACCTGCCCACAATTGATCATATATCGTGCGGCTAAAGTGCGCACGAAGTGCACTAAAATTATGATCGTAAGGTTCCGATACCTATACTATTCACACTTGTACGACGTGGAGCTAATAGATTATGTGCCAGGTAGTCGCAAGGTATGACCGCGGTCAGTGGCTTTTTCAGGCCGCGGATGACCGTGAGGTCGCACCCGACTTTCACCCTGCGTTGTACCAAGCTCGCCTGGGAGTATTAAATCACAGACGTATACGTCGGTTGTCCTCCGCAACTCACTGTACAGGCCAAACCGTATCAAATACTACTGCGATTGTGAATGAAAGTATAAGGCGTGTCGTATCCCAGAAAGGATTGTCTACGGCGAATGTTCTATCATTTTTCTTTTCACCTTTAATCCACTGCACTAAACTACTCCAACGTCCATTTCAACATCAATCGTACTCCTCAATACTACCAAGTCAACTACCTTTTGAATCTTCTTCTTCTAATATAGTGTGTCTTCCTATACCGCGCGACTCCCCACTCAAGTGCTGCAAGGAAGAGTTTATCATCCACGTTTGGACACAAGGAAAATAGAACAGCCAAGTTTGGTGAGATTCGATCTTCAAGCGAAAGAAGCTCCGACATCTAAAAACGGTAGAGCAGTCGTCAAAATGTTTGCATCAAGTGCAACTAGTCGACGTAAAGTCACATCGAATGAACACTTAGTTTCACTTCGAAGTTAAAGGCACATCCATCAGAATAAATATCTTTATTAGAAGTAATGGGAAATGAACATGTGGCACTTTTCAGAAGTTATTTTCATTCCTCGGGTTCTGCATGGCCACACAATCAAACTTAGTCAAAGTATATCTTCACACTCAGTTATTCGTGAAACCTTGCCTTGAGCTGCTCGACCGCCAATCCTAATTCTTCACTGTAAACGGGAGGCCGCCGCTCTTCAGAAGATGTTCCACCGTCAGAGAAAATAAGCCTTAAATGGTAAGTATAACGGTGTGTAATGCTTACGGAACAACTTTAAACCTTCTGAAATAGGATACTTTGTAGTTGCTCGATTTCTTACGAGGGAGGGGGAATTATTATAACTAACACCAATGATGCTGGTGCCAAAAATGGATGCAAACTTCGTATAACTGGACATCAAATAAATCTCTAGGTATATAGCCAACAATAACTTGCTTTGTTCGTGCTGAGCCTACTATAGGAAGGAAACGAATGGTTTGCGGCACCTTCGTACAATCGAAGTAGTGCTGAACTATCCAGTTTTCGCTGAACTACGGTTTTTTGGCATTAACGCATCATGTGCCCTAGGGTATTTCTTAGGAAACATATGCAAACAGTGACGACTTCAATTTGATGTTTTCTCTTTACCAGCCCGCTTTGAGAGAGCTATGACAGCCGCGTAAAGCAGTGCTAAAAAGGGTGCCCCGTGCCCTTACTTAAAGAACGGTATTCTTTGATTGCAGGAAAACTGATAGGAGAAAGAGAATGAGCAACCCAGAAAACAGCAGAGGACCCCCTGATGCAAGATGGGTTCACGAATCTTTGTAATTGTTATTTTGTTTACCATAGATAAAATTTGTGATAACCAGAATCAACTCACTGCGAAGGCGCCGTTACTAAGATTGTTCTGAGCCATCATCTTCTTCCTCCTGTTCATTCGTTTGCTCTACAGTTGATTCTCGAGGAGAAGGCTAGAATTATTGTTCATCGATTGACTCCGCAATTCTTTGTTTGGACTAAATTGCATTCAATTGCCACTTCGTTACGAATGAAAGCCAGGACGCATGGCGATTGTCACTTATCAACACTTTTTTATCCAACAGAATCATGGGTTTGAGCTGGGGCATCTGCTCATGTTAGGGAAAAAGTTTCGTGGTTTTTTTGTGAATCGTTTGTGATGTTAACTGTAAATGTTTGCGGTATGTTCACTGTGTATTCTCCAACAGCGTTCACTACCTACTTACAACTATCCACCCATTCCACGACGACGTCTTGCCAAAATTTCCTAGACTTCCCTCGAAGAAATCATTGAGCCACTTTTCCGAGCCGTGATCAATTTCGAAAATAATAGGCCAGAAATAAGGCTTTGTATAGAATCTACGATTGGATTCACAACAAAGCAATCGCCACAAAATGGGCAAATAACGAGACGGCATAATCCATTCTTTAGCCTTTTCAATATTATAGATCCAATGTGAGCTTAACCCGAATTTGTTCTCCGACAACCTTGCATCCTTCATTTTCGGTTGGGTGTCAGATAATGGGGTTTTAAAATAGAAAATCCCGAAGACCGGTACGTAAAGTACTGCATATGGAGTATGCTCTTTCACTAATACTGGGAAAGCAGATGAGTTCGAACACTAATCGAAAAACGCTTTGAGGTAAAGGCTTCAGAGAGGGACATGTTGGCTTCAAGAGATCAGCTATGGATAACTGCTCTGAGCACTGTAGGTCGAGAAGGAGGCGGTAGTTGTTGGTTGCGCAGTGTTGTAAGAAACCACTTTGCTGTAGGGGAACCATTTACGCGGGAAGGTCCTAATAAAAGGTTTAGACGCAAGGTCAGGGTTTCAGTGGTTCTAGTATCCAGTTCCGGTGTTCCAGGCGTTCCGAAGTTCCTGTCTCTGGCATTTATGTGGTGCCTGACCGGTGCTGTTGGGTGGGAGCTGGGAGACCAGCAGGAAAGAGGACCGAGGCTCAGTCATAGAGCCTTAGTGGCTGGCAGGTGAAGCGCCTGTAGTGGCTTGTAAAGGAAGCCTCAACGGTTTCGGGTTTCTCTAGGCCTAGAGAAAGGAGTTCCAGTGGCTCGGTGATTTGGCCTCTTTGGCCAACTCGGAAAAGTATTAATGGCTCGGAGGAGAGAGCCTTAGCAGCTCAACGAAGAAGAAGGATTGCGTCCTGCACCTTGCGGACCTACGCTCAGTGGTCTCCCGGTCCTCGCCGTCACAGTTCGCCTCCGATCGTCCAGCGATTCTTCGTACTCGCTTGCTATTGCTGAATTTCGCTTCCTAATCAAGCTTCCTTTCCTACATGTCTCAAACGCAGTTAAGAGTTATTCCCAAGTCGCACGACATGAATCCCTCTATCTTACCTTACGTCATAAACCCTGAGTTCTCGTACTATGCAGACATTCGTAATAATCCTTTGCGCTCGTATCGACACGGAACCAATATCATTTTTTAAGCATATATCTTTTCCCTACCGAACAAGTCCAACTGGCCTTCCAATCGTTTTTCAACGTAACTGCACGGAATCGCTCGATAGAGATTTCGACCATGTCGGCTCGGAGAACTACGTCCGTGCACTGTACTTACTCTAGAATGTTGCCCTGATCGAAGACAAACTCACTGGTTTATCTTTGTGAAATGTCACTCCGTAGATTGGACGAGTATTTGATGATTTGTGAAGGGCTTGGATGGCTTTACAAACTTGTTGAAGTCGTTCAGCAGGATCGATTCGGAATCCCAGGACATACTCGCCGCTCTTAAGTAGTACTTTGAGAGTGACTGTAATAATTCAAAAACAAAAAGAGATACGGCGTTAGATTGAAATTAATACAATGCGTCACCATTCCTCATTAGACAACGTTCACGCCTGACGAAATTATGGATACTAAAGAATACAGAGAATATACGACTGCATAGAATTAAATACGCATTGGTTTGTTGACTTCGCAATTGCTGTGGAATCAGCAGAAAACAGTAGAATCACCGATTCCACATCGAAGCGGAGCTAATTTGAAGGAGGATTTCACGATAAGAACGAAGGTCGAAGAAGGGAAAATTGCCTAGTTGGGAGACAGGCGGACCTCCTGAGGGTGCGGACCGACGCGCAATTGGCAGCGAAAGATTTGACCTCGGCGATCTAGCATGGCTCACTCTTGGCGCGGTTGGCGGGGTACGCCCACCGACTATCTAATCACTCGCCGCAGGTCTATACGTGGCGAGTGATTAGATAGCAGAGAGAGCGTAGTGTTGAAGAGGGCACAGCGATGAGAGTCGCATCAATGCGCAAATCAACGGGCAAGGAAGGGGTCCCATTTCTCGGGTTCTGGGCCGTTTCTCATGGTTTTTCCTTCTTTCTTGTACCACATACCATCCTTAACGTAAGCTTTTTCATCGTAAATTCTGCCTTTAATCAATACGAACAATCTGGTTGAATCGCAAATTCGCACATTTCGCCTCCCTGTTCCCCACCCCCTCTCCTCCCAACTTTTAGAGATGTCCTGCGCACAGATGCAGTCTGCTCCAAACATGAAGAAGTGCTCTGTTTCCAAACGCGTGTCCAAATTGAGAGGAGCAGAACAATTCAGGTATGAATATGCGGATGAATGTAGGTCGTCTTTCACAGGAAATGACTTGGGCCTCTATGGTTTATAAAAAAACATAAATTAACGAAGAAGTGAAAGAACCTGTGTGGTAGTTTCGATGACGAGAGCCAGACCAAACTTCGATTCCCTGATACGACAAGAGTACAACTGAAGGTATGGCACTGAGACATTATACAATGAATTTGTGCTTGCGAACCACACGAGACGAACATTTGTTATCACAAAACAACCCAAAGTGCCCTGAAAACAGACGACATTTCACACTTCTAAAAATCAGTGGTAAATCACTCCAACCTGATCAGTGCTAAGATTCCACACTCCGTTGACCTTTTCGACCAACTGTTCCAGAGGTAACAATTTGAGGTTGAAGCTTTCATCCACAATGGCGCCTCTCATCTTCAGTTCCCGATACAATTTCGTCGTCTCGTATGCACGATGCACAGAATTGACAGTGTTGAACAATTTCGAGTGCATCTGACATGAATGTACTACTTCTCCCTTGGTAGAACCTCGATGTTTATCTTCATGTTTCTTGTACCGTAGAGGTTTAAGGGTGGGAAGTTTATTCGACGGCCCGACATTTCGACCAAATCATCTTCCTTGAAGTCCAGTTTACCACCGCAGGAACGAGGCAGCGCTCATGGTCAGTGTCAACTGCAGTAAGTATTTAGAATACTGACATGAGCGCTGTCTCGCTCCCGCGATGGTAGACTGGGCCTTCAAGAAAGACAACTGTCGAAACGTCGGGCGCAGAATAATGTTTCCAACCAAAAACCTCGTTATGGTTTGCCCACCGCTATGACGTAACGAGGCGCTATGGACTGGCACGTTCACTCGCCCTACCCCACCCCTTGGCCCCTGAATTGACAAGGTCTTTCAGGCTCACGAATTCCTTGCTTCACAGTGGAGAACGCGATGTACAATGTCACGAGAATGGATAGAGCCTTGGGGAAAATGCTTCTTCCCGCTAGACATCCTTCTTCACAATATCAGCACTAAAAGGCAAGCTCCGCGATTAGCCTCACTGAAGTAGTCGCTCCTCTAGACAGAGGTGTGTGGTCCGTTACTGCAGAGGTCGCGCCACCTTTCACATCGAAACGCGTCACTAAGACGCTAGGCGCTAAGGACTTCTAACAGACTCCACCAAACTTAACATGGTCCGCCCACCGTTCGATATCTTGTCTGCGTCGCCACGTTGATCTGCTGCTCTCCACTCGGACTTCTCTTACTGAGTCAGAATCTCCCCGCCACTCACATTATCTAACCTCTCGTCTCCTTGCCTACCTCTTGACTTCTCCGCAGCGTAGAGCAAAAGGCTCGTATTTCCTGTGTATTTCACGATTTTCTTTCCTTTTTTCTCCACTGGCGGTCCACCTCCCATCCCTACTTTCACATTTGAGTGGAATTACCTCATCAATTTAATCCTGATTTTTGCTTTAACATTCAGCTTGTTGAGGAAGACCACTGAGCGGGCCCTATTTTGGGTCGGAAGACGGCTGGCGATGCGTTTATGGTCGATATCAGGCGGCTGCTCTGAGTCTAGATCTCCCCTTTGTTCTGTTTGAAAAAAAAAACAATCCACCAAATACATAATGATCATTAAACCATGGAACCGAGAACTATATGAGAAAAAAAACTGGAGGATTGATCTATCAGGAGCACTACTCATTCTCAGGTAAATGCGCTCAAGCGTAATTCGATACCATATTCAAATTAACCCTGTAATTATAACAACATTACAGTCTGCTCCTTAGTTTCTCTGCCACTCTATACATACCTCTGCACAGAAATCAAATGGGCCCGTCAATAAATGGATGAAGGGGTCGCAAGGACCACTGGTAGATGTAATAAAACAGCAAGTTCAGGAAGTTGATGGGGCTGAAAGGCGCAGACGACGAGGATGTTACAATTACTGACAAGGTAAAAATTTCTAAAAGTGTATGGCGAAACCAATGGGAAGATCTTATTCGCCTACCTTTTTGGAAAACACATCTTTCGACCCGACCTTAAACTCTCTTTGAAGAATAAATATAAAGGGAGCCTCAAATTGATCCTACTTTGCTTACACCACGTTGGTAGTTCATGACGTATATATTGAAGAGCATAATTATCATCGTATGCAGTGAGATGACTGCAACATGGTCGAAGAATCGGAAGCGCGAGCCAGACATACAGAGCTCTACCTCGTGTCACGAACTTTTCAAGTTCATAAATATTTTTCGAATGTTGTTAACGTGAGAACCATCGAATGTCTTCTGATGCTACTTCACGGCTTTGCAGCCCTGTTATGTTGCTATATCCAATGGAAAGATTTATTCTTGGCATCGAACTGGCATACCATATGACTCGCAAGTTGGTTATCCGCATTACACCTTGGAAGCTGATTTCAGAAGAGTCTGACAGTAAAAGTTGGAATGCGAGTTACTCGATTCGATTATTCCTTGTATCTTATCAAACCTGTTCACTCGATCATCGTGTATCTGCTGGTACGACTTAGCATTCTGAACGGAACATGAATAAAAATAATTAGAAACACAAGAAAGAAGGAACGAAATACTGCATAGTTACGATTTGTATTGGGTTCGAAATTATGATTTCACGGCTATGAAACTAAACATACTAATTTCTTTCGGTAGTTTCTCGCCCTCCTCAATAGTAGTTCTATTCGTTACGCCACGAGAATCAAAGCAAAAAATAAATGAAAAACAGATGAAAAAAGATTAATCAAAGATGAGACAAACCGCTATAAAGAAAAGATTACTTACCGATGATCCATCAAATCTTATTTCCTTATCCTGCCATAATTCATCGCCGTTCACCTTCTCACCAGACATGCGGCAATTCGGAAGACAGCAAAACTATTACCAGAATACTGCAGCGACCTCTATGAACGTACCGGGATCACCATAGCAACACAAGCGAGAAAGCAAGGCTGCTGCAACCTAGCTAAGGTTGCGCGAGAACTTCCGTGCTTAGAGACAGCTATCGCACAAAGGATTCTGTCAATTTAAGTCCACACTAATCGAGCAACATGTGAAATTATTGGAACATAGGTCCTCTCAATCGTAATTATTTTTAACTACTGATTTCACATACGGTGATTGTTGCATTTTCGACCGCTCGACCATCGGATCGACTTTTATAGACACGGAAATCATATGGAAGACAGCCGAGAATTTCATACTTACTGCAATTTCGAAACTTCGACTTTTATGATTTCCCCTTTGTAAACGAGATGCGACTGATGTCGCCCAAATAGCTAATACAAGCAGCTGTCTAAATGCCTGCTGAGTACCCCACCCCCACCACCACGCAAAATAGAGTAGAGAGAGTTTTTTGAGAGGAGTGCAGAAAAGGGATATGCATCCTGCTCGAAAACAATGAGGTGTTTTAGTGGCACGAAGTGATCTAATTTGTGATCGATCTTGCTGAGTGGAAGATTTCCGCGAAAACAATGCACGATATGATACACTTTATCACAAACCAAAAATGGTCCCAAATACACGCTTCCGAGTTCCGATATTGTAATATGAGGCCACGTGCATGCATACGGAAGCACTTGAAAATATACACGATAGAAAAGAATGACAACCCCGCATGTAAATATGATTTTGCAGCTGCTTAAATGTAAAGTATAAACATAGTAAAAGCGAAAGCCAAACAGAAACACATCTCAGCTTGCGATTCCTTGAGCATACGTCCCACTAGGTGGACGGAAAGGCTGAAAATAATGGAACAATAACAAAGGATCACCACAATAATAAAAGGGTTAGTTCTCTAGCAATTATGGACCTTTGGAAGGAAGTGCATTTGAAACGGGCTGAACGAATAGACTGCTTTGCCCACATTTTTACGGCAGTTCTCTCTACGAGCACCGTCTCTTCGTAACGAAGCTATCACTTCTTGAAGCTGAAATGGATTATTTTACTGCCAGTAGACTTCGGATTTAGCTCAAACAAATATATTGTGCTTTCATAGAAAAAATGATAAATCGATAAATCTTTCAGCGTTGATCAATCTCATTCTGATGCGCCACCCATTCTATCTCCAATCAGAATCGTGATGGCAGTTTGATGTGGTATGCCCGTAGGCCAGCCGTTGTACAAGAAAGTAAATAATTTTACCCTTTTAAACAAGCCTGGTACCAATTGTCAAAGACCAAAGGGATAAAAGCTGGCTTACCCTAGGTGAGATCCGATTCAAGACTTGACCCCTAGACCGTGCGCATTAGCACCACTAGTATCTGCATCACCTATGCCCATATTCAACCACCACAATTCAAATCTTGGTACATACATCAATGAAGGCAATGGAAAGTCAAAATTAATTAACTACAGCAACAGTGTAATGCGGGAATCTGAAGGGGTGGTCACAAATAAAAATTTTCAAGCATTGTAACAATTGGCATTTTCCAACCTAGCGCATCTCTATAAGCCCGAAATACTCTGAGTTGGAAAATTTCCGTAAACTCAAGAAGTTAAAGGATAAAGGATAAAGCATTTGCCGTTGATCAATCCCTTTTTGGGATGCGGCACGCATTCTACTTCCATTTGTACATTCGTAGTGGCGTTTGAATGCGATGTGGCCTATACAATGACTTGCGGGGGCCAGCCGATGTACAAGTCAGTGTTTTTATCCTCCCAGACAAGTCTGGTACCAATTAACCGACCCCGGAGGGATGGAAGGCTTGGTTGGCCCGGGCGACTCACGACCCAGGATTTGATCCCCGGACCGCTCGCGTGGTAAGCGTGCCACTTGCCACTACACCACTTCCGCCCAAACTCAGGAAGTTAGTCTTTCCAAATCCACTAAAGAACTAATTCAAACCATATCGAGCATAAGGGAGGCGCTGAGCCCTGACTGGCTTGCCGGAAAAGGCTGGAAACATAGCTAACTAATTTTTTCACAAGTTCTTCAGAACAGGAAAAACTCCTCAAATTTTCACTGTTTCATCACCGTGATATTGCCAACTGAGACCTCGCGGGACAAAGCTATATGAACTGAACAGGTAGAATAGGTTGATCTTTGACTGAGCAAGCCCTCACTTTGTCAGAAACTCACTTTTTGCACTACCTTACCTTGAATGGTGTTAGGTTGAGAAAAAACTCCTAGTCTCCAGCGGCTTGTATCGATAACCTTTGAAAAACCTCAGAATATGAGTTTCCAGTAACAACCAATCTGGAGTTGGAAAAAATACCAAGACCACCAAGAGGGATATATCGAAATTATCAGAAGTGTGAAATGCACAGAAATCCAACGCAACCAGATCTTCGTTCTAGCATCCCTACAGAATACACCAGAGTCATTGCAATTAAGGAGCAGGCATCCAGTTGTGTCGACCTCAGTCATATGGAACACTCTGAGTGGAAGTGTGGGGAACGAAACGCCGCCCAACCATGAACCCCATCAAATAGTCGACGTTTGGTACAGATAAAACTCTCACGTACCTGTGCCGCATTGAGCCCGCACGTTTCTCGAAGTACACGTCCTTGTTCCATTGTGACAGCCATGCCTGTTCGGTCTTTTCCACTTTTGCAGCAAATGACAGCGTGGCCATCCAGCAACTCGCATGCCGTCATTGCCCACTCGAAGATTGCGAGATTTTTTCGGGAAGGCTCACTTGCCACCTCAAACGCAACTGTTCATTCATTTGCCGTGTACATTCACCAGAATAATTGAGAGTAATAATTGAGTGGAAGACCATGAGTTACTGTTCACAATAACAAGAGCTTACTGTCGACTAAAGCTTCCAGTCGGGATAATTCTGAGCACATCCTATCGCATTCATTCTATAGCCGTCAGCTGGCTTCCCCATCTTTCCTTTCCTTACTGTTATCTTTTTCCTAATCTTAAACCTCCAGCCTGCCTAACCCTAATAGTAACTCGAAAGTAGAAAGTCGATAGCACAATTTGTGCACACCTAAAAGTAATGATGAAACTTGAAGCGTACCAATGTTCACTGGCAAATTACCGTCGTGACACTTGCTAAAGATGACCAGCCGTCTACAGATCGGCTGACATCAACACATCCTTAGCTGGCTGAAAATAGGGTCTGGCCATCTCTGTTTAAACCTCAGCCCAGGCCTAGCTCTGGTGAGAGGATTGGGATAAGTAGAAGTCTACACTTGTGGATGATCAGCGAATGTAAAAGCTTTGGGGTCCCACAGCCGTGAAATTGTAGCGCAATGTAGGCCTCTGT